CTGACAGATGTGGGTATATTGACACGGTTTGGCAAAAAAAAAAAGGGGGAGGGGGAGATCTGCTCAATACTCAGGATATGCAGTGCTTAGGGAATGTTATCTATGTAGAAAGAAATTAGAGAATTAAGTTGAATTTAAGTTGAATTAGATAAAAGCTAGTATTATACACATGCATCTTACAGTCTCTGAATTTTAACATGAGTCTGTTCCTATTCATCCTAGCCTGTCACCATCTCTTTTGCTTATAAGTATGCTCAACTTCAAAATTCAGTTTCAGGAACATATTGACCTTTATGTAGGCAATGAAGGTCTTTGCAGTACTCCAGCCAACAGACATCCGCGGCTAAACTAGAGAAGGAATGGGTGGTAAGCCAATATCTGCCATACTTAAAGATGACTTTTGGGCTGTTGCCTTATGATTCAGGACTATCAACCTGTTCACATCAATTTGTTTTACATGAGTCAGTTTTTCATGCTAATATGTCTTATATCTATGCCGTGGATTTTTTTGTCTAAAATTTTCATATACGCTTGACCTAGCATTTCCTAGCAGTGGTTGACCGTGTCATTAAAAGGCAGATACTGATATCAGTACCACTGTGGAATAAGAGTTACTTCTCAGAATGTTCAGTTCACATTTATCATCTCTTAAAATATTGACTTACTTAAATGTAAACCTGAGTTTTTAAAATGGATTTAGGCTGCCTAACATGCTGTTGATAGGTTTTTCAAATTCATCTGGGCATCTAGCTCAAGTGAAATTAGGGAGAGATGATGGTTTAGGATGGTTCAGGAATCCTTATAAATTGTACCTAAATTGTGACTCTCAGTGCCTCTTAAAGACTTCTGTATCAGGTCTCTTCACATCCAGAATAATCTTTGAGTTGCTATCAATTTATGAGCAAAGGACATCTTTTAGCTCCTGTTAATTGCAGCTTGTTTGAAGGGTGAATGATTTTGCCAGACCATCTGTGAGATTGCCTGTGACAATTTTCTGTTTGTATTTTTGGTGAAGGTTTAAGAGCACAGATTTCTATGCTCGCATTAAACATTTGTTGAGGTGATGGTCCCTCTAGCTAGAGCTGTTTAGCTAGATAAAGTCTCCTACACTCAATTACAGGCAAGCTAGCAAACTTCTTATTGGAGATGCCTTGATTATAGTTAGTGCAGGTTGTAACTGTTGATCTTAAAGTATTACTTGATGAGGAGAGATCTATGAGCTAGTCGTAGGTCGGCAGGAAACCATTCTGACTTCACAGTGTTTCCAGTTGATAACATGATGATGGTTGTTGGCCGTCTGGCATCGGTTACACGTCGTGTGTTGGTGTTCTTGTCAGGAAGCTGACATATTTCTGCAAAAAACATCGTGAAAAGCAAAAACTTCTTGGAAAGCATCGAGAGCTGAGAGACCTTGAACTGCACTCGTTTGCAGTTTCCTTCAGGAGTCCTTTTTGCAGTTTCACACCTTAAAGCTCTACTTGTTTTCCTCTTGCTGTTTCTCTCTATTATAAACATCTTTAAAATGAATCCAAGCACCCCCCAACCCTTGCTTAGCTTGTTTCATAGTTATTTTTTAGGGCCATAAACTGTGCATTTACCCCGATGTGTGTAATACTTAGCCACCAACACGAAGCACATTCTGCCGAAAGTCCCTTTAGTGCTCCCCGTGGGTGGTAACAGCAGGTCACAACATGGTTTTGTCATCTAAGATTGATTGCTTTGAATTAGAGCTATACGGTTGAGCACCTCACCATACATACCATGGCATACTGTGGCAACCAGGAAACGTTTAGTTGTCTTTAAAAACAAAACAAAAAACTAGCAGCTGCTCTTAGCTCCATGTGCGTTTTATCTGGCAGTTCTACTTCAGCAATGAGGAACAGGACCCATGTTCTGTTATCTCTGAAATAAAACCCACTAGCTAAGAGGTCATGAAACCACTCCCTTATTCAAGTCACTGTCCTTATTTGCTGGGCTCTAATAGAGGCTCCATTTACAGATCTATATTCTGATTGATTGATTGATTGATTGATTGGAAGCTTGATGTATTTAGATTTGGAAGGTTAGGAAAAATAAGATCGCATGGGAGGATCTGAATCTTTAAAGGTAAAACGTTGAGAAAATAAGTATTTAATGAAAGAACTATTTAATGAAGACAACTGGGTAGAAGAGTTCAGGAACCTTATGAATATAGGTGAGATTTGGAATTTTTTCAAAACAAGCTGTTAAACCTGACATGAATGAGATGCACCTAACAAAGCCAGGGGGAGAGAAGGAATCCATGCCTGTTTGTGTGAATAATTATCTCAAGAAAAATGCAAATAATAAAAAGGAAAGAACTGATATGAGATAAGCTTAGGGCCTTGGATATCAGGAAGCATGGAGATAACGACATAATTCCCAGAAGTTAAACAGAGCTACATCTTGAAAACAACACCACAAGAAAATCTTAAAGGAAAAAAAAGATCAATGAAAAACAACAAAAGAAGTGAATCAGTTAGGCAGCAAGGGTGGGCTAGAAATTAGGGGAAAAAAAATTATTGTTCAAAGTAAAAATATATATACTTTTAGTGTTTATTTACCTTGAAACTGTAGATATTGAGTGCAGGAACAAAAGTAAATGGTCAGCAGCTACCAGCAGTTTGTAAAGTGATTTCTAAGACTCAGAGACCTGGATGCATTCAAACTGAAAGAGGACTAAGTATCACCTATCTAGAATTTTGAAAGGAACTAGCACACACAACTGTGAAACATTCACTATCAAGGAGTTTTAATTCTGGTCAGATTGCGATATCAATGGTCCATGTAGGTATGCGTACAAATGAAGTACTTATCAGCAAATCTGTCTTCGTTAGGAAGGGGACCATCAGTACTTTTTATGGGTACAAGACACTGATCAGACATCATGTAAAATAATGATTATGTTCTGGTCATTCACGTTAGAAAAAGATGTTAAAATTGAAGTAGCTGCACATAAAAGCCACTAGCATGGTCAAGGGAAGAAAGACACTACTAAATGGTTTGGGTTCTTCAGATAAGAGGATTTCTCTTAAGAATAGTGAAGGAAAATAGTAGAAGGAAAGAAATCCAAAGTGATGATAATTCAAATTAGTGTTACAATTAGAACAGTTTATTCGATAAGACAGGAATACAGCTCTGCATTAGAAAAAGTAGAACCTAAAACTCTTAAGTCCTGTTAGGACAAAACTGGATTTCTTTAGGAAAGATGCCATAGGTTGTGTCTCCCATCTCTTAAAAAGCATTTGAATTCAGTGATCCCCAGAGGTTCCCTCCCATCCTATTCCCTAGCTGTTAGAACAGCTTCTTTCATGGAGGATACCATGCTATATTGACATTATCTCTGATGCAGAAGAATGAATGAGGTCTGCGTTGCTCTAGCTGAAGTTCTACTTCAAGTCTGACCAATTCTGACCAAAATAGTTCAAAATATTCTATATAGTGAATGTTCAAGAAACATGTAAGAGTGCATTTACATGCAGAAAATATTCACTCATAATGCATTGTGCTTCAGAATCCACATTTTTCCCGCGTGGTTGAATTTTTCTTCTCAAGCAAGAGTGGGATTTACTTTTAAGCAAAGACTCTCCTGCTATTTTGGCATTTGGAAACAAAGTAAAAATGTGGGCTATCACTTTGCTAAAGCAAGGTCCAAGTAAACTAGACTTCTTGGATATAAGTAATTTCTTTTAGTCCTAAAAATTATGTCTTTCAGTGGCTATGTTTGTCAATTAAAAATATTCTCTGTTAGTCATTACCCTGAATCATTAAAAGCACTACGAATGACAAGAGAATGTCCAGTTTAAAAACCACGTTTCTTTTTTCTTAATGCTGCTGTCCAAGCTGCTGCCATATTTTTTTCCTTCCACGGCATTAAGAGGAATTGAATCTATTGTAGACTGATCCTGTCCTACAGAGTTTTCTCTTAATGAAAGAGACTGCAGTATTGGGCCCATCTGTTTACTCAAGGCCATAGACAGAAAGCATAATTCACATAACTTGAAACAGATAATTGATATGAAATAATAAACTTGTCTTAAAGGGTTTTTCAGTAGGATAAAGCTTTTTTTCTTGTTTTGGGTTTTTGGTTGGTTGGCTTTTGTTGTTGTTTTGTTTCATGGCTAAGACACTACAGTACAAATTATGTAATTACAAATCTGAACTTTTGCTTCTGTTTGTTTTAGGAGCATGGCCTTATCTTTTCAGTGTTAAGTGACAGACACCAGTTTTAGGACTGTAGTGTATGGTGTAGTTCAGAGCCACAGATCTAAGCACTTGGATCTATACAGGTACAGGATGCAGTTTGCTGGTCCTTCCGTATGGATATACTGGTAGCAAGGGATGTATCTGAGTGCCTGGCCATACCAAGTATAACTGGAAGTGTTCAGGTTTTAGGTATCATGAATAATACTTCCTGCTTCCTCCACAGAAAAAAGGGCTTGGATAATTCTTTCAAGGTGATCGGGTTTTATGATAGATAAAATGTGGTTCAAATGATAAAAATTGCTTGTAAATGACCAGAATAAACTAAAAAAAATCTAGGCATTTAAGAATGTGTAAATATTTTTCTTCTTCTTTTTCCTTTTCTAATTACATCTCAGGTTCCACCTACAAAACTGTCTTGGTCTGTAAAAGCAAGTTTCCTACTTGTTAAACATATGCATGTTTTCAATATTATTTCGGTATACCTTAATTTGACAAGAGGGCAAATGGTCTCACCTGACTTCTTACCACCACTATTTTGGACCATTCCAAGCATAAATATGTTTTTAAATATGGCAGAAGACACTGAAAAATAGGAAAAAAAAATGAAAAATGGTAAATTGTGCAGTTATAAACATGTTGAATAGAATGCCTGTGAGCAGTTTGCTCTTTTCTCTTTTTGTTCCACTTTAATAAAGCAAATTATGAAATACCTGTTGCTTGCCAGTAGACCCTGGGCTCCCACATACTAAATCCTGTGGAAAATGGGACAGAGTGGAACTTGGGTCTGGTAAGAGCTGAGGCATCAGAATGAACTCCTATCTGTATGCTGGTGACTAGTAAACACAGCTCATTTCTTTTAAACTGTTTTTCTTCAGCCAGTCTAACATGTCACCCTCTCTTTCTGACATCTTCCTGTGAATGTTTCATTGTCATGTTAAAATAAATGTAAAAAATGAGGTTTTGGACTTGTCTTCTTGAACCAGTTCTCCATTTCCTCTGTGGGAAAAACAAAAACAAAAACAAAACAAAACAAAAAAAAAACCCAACCAACCAAACAAAAAAAACCCCAACCAAACCAATCTTATAAACTTCTGTTGCTCAGTTCTGTAATTTCTGAATCATCCTTTACTACAACCTCTCTCCCCCCAGAAGTACATATTCAAGCTGTAATATCTACCCAGATGAAAAACCGATTCTGTGGGTGTAGTTTTGCACCTTGCTTATTGCTGCCTCCTACTTTCTGGCCTTACCTTATGTAAACGTGTTTGATATTACTGCTGACAGAAATTTCTCTCACTGCAGAAGCTCTCTTTGACTCTTTACAGTTGTTCCCTCCTCCCCACTGGATCTGATGCATGCTCCCTGTCTTTACCTTTTCAGTCAGGGCCAAATCTTTATTTGGTACCTTTGTCCAGTATCTTCACCACAGGAACATTTAAAAAGTAATTCTGGAAAAGCCTTTGGAAAGTCCTCTGATTAATTCTCTCCCTGTAAAGCATAAAAACTCCAACACAACCTGTATCCTACAAATATAACCTATGCCTCAAGTACAGGAATTCTGCAGGTCTGCAGATGATCAGATGCCATTGATTTAACACTAAAAAGTTTTCCAAATATCTAATAGGAACCCTTTCTTCAGCATTTTTAAACAACGCTTGCCCATTCACTTGCATTTTCCAGCATGTTCTTATGTGCTTCATGTCTGAAGAATATTCTTCTGTCCTTTTTTGTTCTTTCCTGACTAGTGTGTGTCTTTTTTTTCAGGCTTTCCAGGTCTTCATTCATTCTTGTTGCCTTGATTGGGCAGACCTTCTTCAGGTGAGGTGCTCAAAGCTCAAGAGAATTCTCTGAGACTGTGCCCAAACTGACCAGAGAGAAGGCAGTAATTCATTTATCTTACAGCCTAAAATCAATAATGTTTACAGACTACAGGGTGCTTGTATTTTTCAAAACAGTTCAAATGTTATTACTCACTTTAGCTTACAGTATTCTGTAATACTCCAGTTGTCTTCTACAAGAATGACACCTAAACAGTAAAAACACTTGCATTTCAATTTATTGAGCTGTGTATTCTTTTTTTTTTTTAATTATTATTTATTATTATTATATCTTTTTGCCACTTATCTAATTTATTGGATCATTTTGAATTCTAATTCTGTCCTCCAGTGTAGTTACGGTCCCTCCATGTTGGCATTAATCTGTAAACAGACTACATTTTCTACAACCTGGTCTTTAATAAAAACATATTGAAAAGTAAGGAGTCCAGGGCTGTCTGAAACTGATGCATAGTGTTTGCTTCCTACTTGGCAATAAGCTATTGATAACTGCTTTAATACTTTAATATTTCTTTCACCATTTATATATTCACTGTGTAATTTAATCTAGCCTGTGATTTCTTGCATGTTTAGAAGAATGTCATTTGAGACTGTGAGACTGTTTGAAAAGCATTACTAAATTCAAGTAGACAACATCTATTTTTCTTGTTCTATCCATGTACTATGTTATCTGCCCATTGCTTGCTTTTGACAAGTCACTTTTGGTTGGTTTTGATGTTCTTCTTTTCACATGGAAACTTTAATTATTTATTTTTCAGTATTATTTTAGGCCAGGGAAATTAGTATTAATTAATTAGTTGGCCTAACTTCTTTTTTCCTCTCTTTAAATATATTCACTGATTTGATATATGTCCATAATTTGGTAAAGAACAAATAAAAACTAATAAGCAAAAAGAGGAATCTGGTTTATTCCAACTCTTGGTTTATTGTCAATTAAAAAAAAAAAAAAAAGTTATGACCTCTTCCATATCTGTGTTTGTCTGTAAAATTTCAATGCATATTAAGTGTGGGTGTGTATGCTGACTTTCTGGACTTTCAGCACACACTGACAATGCAAAAGTACAACCAGCACTTGGGTCAGAAGATTTATGATGTCTAAAAGCAAGAAGGCCAGAAGTAAAGAATGTGCTTGTTAAGGAAGAAACTGATAAAGAAGGGACTCCTTGGAAATACAAAAGCAGGAACTTACCTACTGGCTGTGTATGGGTAGCAATGTTTGTGGAAAGTACCAAGGGGAGTTATTTTTTTGAAATAAGCATGTGCAAGAGTAACAAGTATATAAAGACTCGCTGCTATTTTTAACATGCACAAGAATATATAAGGACTTGCTTTCTAATAAAGTTTGGAGCATGACTGTTAACCATATTGGTGTGTGTCTTGATTCTGGCCTCGTCCTGCAAAAAGGGGTTCCTGCTACAATAAGGGATAGTACAACCATTTGATAAGGAATTCTGATTCATATTTATGACTAATTCACTTATAGTTTCTCTACATGAGGATCTCAGATATTGTCCCTCACTATAAAGTCCCTTACATATACAACACATAGATCAGTCATCCCAATCATCCCACAGAGTTGCAGGTTTATAATTTATAAAATTCAAAATTATTTTCACAGTGGTTTCAAAGTAGTGCTTTCACTGCAGATAAAAAAATGTAAGCGTACTTTAACTGAGGTGTCTTGAAAAGAAGAAATGAAAGCATTAAGTGGGGCTTATAAAAACAGGAAGATACTTATGACAGAAGACAACCATTTGAAAAAAGCAAAAAAGCCATCAGAGTACTGAAACATATAGTAAAAGAACTGTTCCATGCAATAATATAACAAAAAATACTTCAGTGCTACACAGATTCAGCTATAAAAGGATAATCTAGTTTCGAATGCCTGATTCTTGGGAAGATTAGCCATAACTTTAAGATGACAGCTACTTTACCTTTATGATACACATGAAAATATAAACAAGGAAGACTATCTTAGCACATCCTTCTAGGACTGATTTGACTATTTTGCCTGTAAAACCTCATATTATTTGGGGATTATTTTTTTTAGCATGGTAGAGATAGGGTGGACCACTCTGTACTGTTTTTTATTAAGTGAGAAAAAACAGAAGTGAAATGTTCCTAATTAAACATCTCAGCTACTGGAAATAAAATCCTACTTTAAGTTCCAAAATTTATCATCAGAGGGAAGGAGCCAAAGGAGGAAAACAAAAATTAAGCACTCTTCTTTTTTTCTAGATGCAGAAAAGATAACTGGATTTTATGTGCAAGAGTTGGCAAGGGAAATAAAATCTGTATAGACGTATTAAGTGAAACAGGAGGTTAAAGCCATCCCTTCCTAGAGCTCAGACACCTCAGTGTCAGTTTTAAGATGAGTCAAGTTAAATAAAATATAAAGCGCAACAGAGATTCTTGGATGTTCCATTTTGTCTATGATAAAAAGCATATAGCTACTGCGGTACTTCCCAGATTTCAGGAAAACCTTTATAGTTACAATTATTTTGATTTGTCTTTACTCTAGAGAGTCCCCTGAGGAATCTGTAGGTGGGCTCAGTCATTCAAGGAAGTTTCAAGGGGCATTAAATCCTGGAGTCTGTGGTTTTAATTATTTAAATACATTAATAATTTTACAGCTGTGTGATTTAAAGTAGTTGTTCCTTTATAGGTTCTTTTAAACATTATTTTCTGACTCAGCTTCTCTTTAACAACATGTTTAAAAAGAGAGGATTCGAGTATCCTAAATCCCATTGAGATGATGTGTTCAAATATACATTCCTCTAACTAAATATAACTAGTATTTCTTATGCAGTATGTTAACAACATCTCCACAGTTACATTGTTCACTGAGGCAGTTTTCTTTGTCTAAACCAGTGGTGAAATTCTAGGAGTTGCTGCTACAAGCCCTTGAGCATTGCACCACAATTAGGAATCTGAAAAACTAGAGATCATATTTAACATGATCTGTTCTACATGTCAGTGCTTCTGCATGCCCACATGAAGACAGAGTTTTAACTAAAGTCAACAAGGATGATCTGGGAGAGTGTTTCAGATTTGCAGTCGAGTTTCAGTTCACCCGAATTCCACCATTCATGTAAATGGTGCAATTTCGTACTGACTGCTATTCTGGCTGTATCACTGCTTAAAGCCCATATTCTCTCTTTTAATTAAATATAACTTCATCTGTGGAATCTCAAAAGTAAAGCAATCTTGACAGTAGTCCCAAGAATCTCTTATAAGCTCCAAACTAAGCAGTAGCATTATCTAAATAAAAATAATTCTTAACAAGGAATTAATAAGCAAGAATTTTTTGTTGTGGTTGCTTTGTGTTCTTCCTTTCTGATGGACATGAGATCATTGTTTCTGCATACTAGAACCAAACTTTATTTTTACCAAATTAAAATGGATTTATGGATTATAAGTACAGGCAGACTTTGTCTCGTTTCATGCTGTAAGACACGTGCAAATGTTAACTTGCTAAATTACTATCATGGCAGTTTATTTATGTAGGCACATAACTATGAAAGGCAAAGCTGGTAATATTCGCTCAAGTCCATTGAAACAGATGAGTGCCAAATTTAAGTAAGGTTCAAATCAGCATAATCTTAATATGCAAAGCTCTGATGATTGTTCAGGAGATTGTAAAAATGTCCATGTCCAAAATGCATAAAGAAACAAATATCAATTATATATTCTATTATAAAATCTAATATATAATATTATCACATATATATCATCATTATGGAATACTTCAGAAATCTGTGATGGCACTACATGTACTAAGATCAATTCAAATCTTAGTTGATACAAAAATGTATCAACTTACTTCATCAGCATTCTGCCTGTATATTGTCATTATGGCATGTCACATACAGCATTCCCTTTGTATAGACTAATGGAAGGAAACAAAATAGGTCATACACCAATGCCAATTCCATAAGAATACTGTCACTCAGCAGAAATGTTTGTAATGTGGCTTTCCAAAAAGAGGGATTTTTCTCAGTATACTGATGGTTTCAAATCCAGCTGTAGTGCCTCAAAATATAGGTACACAATTTGGTATATAGACTGCTACACACAGCCTCTTAAAGCAGATGTCTAAAGATGCAAGGGCTTGAAAATACTATGAAACTATCTGCTTTTATTTTAATTTTTTTTTTTAGAAATTTAGTCTTTTTAAATATTAGACCCTAAGGTACAATCAGTCCTGATGTTTTTATGAGCTAAACCAAATCTCAGTTTGCAGTCACATGAATCACAAAGTATTAGGGGGAAAAGCCATGCTAATTCTATACAGATGTGCTGTTGCATTCCTGTAAATTTTCAGACTGTAAAGGAAATGCTAGTTACACCTCTTTTCCCTTCAGCCTACGGTAGAAAGTTTCACAGATCGCATATGTGTTTTGCATTCAGAGAAAAATAGTCATAGATTTCTTTGACCAGATACTGTTTTAACTTGCTGTTGACATTTTAAAATCAAGAAACTGTGTTTGCTAATTCAATGAATATCTATGAAATATATTTACCTTTTTAACAATCTAAAAAACCTAGCCTTTGGGGCTCTGATATTTTTTCAACTTGCACACATAAAAGTATGGAAAGCTTTATTCTCTTAGATGTTCTCCTATGCTTAGGAAGAAAGCATATTTATATTTTTATATATGTGCAAATACACAAATGTGATTTTATATATGTAAAATGCAAATATTTTTTTAGATGGACTTGATATCGATTTCCCAGTTAGAGCTAAGAAAACCAAACAAAGAAAATGGGATAATACCTGTTTCTTCAGAGCAAGAGCAAAGATTTGTGAGACTGCCGTGATAGAGATTTTCAGACCAACAGCTAAAACCAAGCCACGTTCTCTGGCGATTTCCATTGGGCATGGACCTTAAAGAGACTTTCAGTAGTGGAAGATATATGTGAATGTGACAGTAGAAAACATCCAATATCCATCTTCCAGGCCTGAGAAAATTTATAAACCCAGCCAGACATGGGAATGACTAGGATAATAGAAGGCAGAATATGATGGTTTAGGTGAACCTGTTACAAACTTTTCAAACTGAAAAGTCAACTTTGCACATCACAGTCCAGTTTTAAAAGAAGGCATATTTCAACATAGTTGCTTTGTTCAAAACATTCATCCTTCTATGCCATGTGCTGGATCTCGACAGTGATGTCTGTGCTTCAACAACTGGTACAATTCCCGTTTGTAAGCATATGTTTTGCTGATTAGGGATACCAATTAAACTCAGACACCAGAGTGAAAAGAGCAGGCGTATTTTACTTAAAATAACTAATGTAACTGAATCATGCAGAAAACATATAGTAAGAAAATATAGAACAGTGCACTCAAACAAATAGGAAAATACCATGTAATGCATCAAAACATTACTACCCGAGAAAGAGAATAGTGATTAAGAAAGATACATCACCACTTGCATACTTTACCATCATCCAGACCTGCAGTGGCTGGTCAGCCCTGGTTACAGCGAGGATTTGGAGAACCTTTCCCTGCAAGTGGGAAATCCTATGGGGTGCGTCCACCCATAGGGGAGACTTCCAAAGTTGCTGTGAGCAGGTCCAGCCTCATATACCTAAAAATTAGCTAGCCAGAATAGCTGGCAGCTTTGTTTTAAGCGGAAATATCTGGTTCTATTCTCACGTTAGATTCTCCAAGTGCCTGGCCAGGGCTCAGGGAAGAAACTAAGGTAGTTTCCCAGCTTATCTAATTGATTTATGGGCAAGGTCTCACGCCAGGTCACAGGGCCAGACAGCTGTCTCTGCGACCCTATTATCTTGCCTATACACAAGGAAAGATAAGGATATATATAGGTGTATATTTAGAAGAGATGGAGTCTCAGTTCAGTATCTGAAAAAGTCTAGGCAGCTCTTTTGGTCACCTCTGTCATCCTAATTCAAATAAAACTGAAGAGGAAATTTGGCTAAAGTTCTCAATAAATGATCATGACATGATCTGAAATATCTTTTATGTAGGTCAAAACAAATCAACTCAAACTCTTTTAGGCCTATGAGTAACAGGCTGAATAGTAATATTTGTGTAGAAAATATCTTTGTATTAATCCAGAGAGTAGCACTGAAAATGTTGACTATAAAAGACAAAAGATGCTAATGACCTCTTAAAGAAAGACCTTTGCAGTAGCAGAACAAGACACAACAGTATTGTAAGCTCTATTTCCCATAACAAGTGATAATAGTGATAGGAGAGACAGAAGAAGAAAAAGTCAGAATACCTAAGTGAGCAAATGGAAGAGATGCAGCAAGATCAGTTACCACCACCAGGAATCCAGCGACATCCCATTGTTTTGGTCTTGGTGCAGGTGTTAAGGTTACTCCAAGCTCCAAGCTCTGCCAAGAGAGAGATCATTTCGAAATCCCAGCTCCGAGCCCCGAGAGAGAAGACTATGCAGTCCTTTTATTGTCTCAGTCCCCACAATTCCTCCAAAGACTCCACCAATTTTCACATTGTCGTATGTTCCACCCCATGCTCTTCCATGTGCATATGCCCAGGTGTTCATGGTGGTTTTCACCTGCCTCCTGTGCAAGTGCAGCTTGACAGGCACTGCCAAGGATGTCGTTTTTCTGGCTTCAGGCAGACTTGGTGGTTTCTTTGGAAACAGTTCATCTCCTTCAGAGTGTACTCCTCCATGGGGACAGAATGTTGTGGCCAGGTAGTGGTAGTGGTGCAGCAGCAATGTCAAGACAAGCACAGTCTGTCTTTTACACCACCCTGAGGTTCGACATTGCTGTCCTCGTGGTGGCACAAAAGACAGTTATATAAAGAGAGAGAGAAAGGATAGAAATAGCACGCAACATGATAACTAATAATATTTTTAACAGATATATAAATTTTCCATTAATAAACATGTGACTAATAATATCTTTAACAAATACGAATATCTTCAGTTAACAAGCATTTATCTAACAACATCTCTAACAAATATGACATGCTCAAAATTAGCTAACTCTACAAAGTCAAAACTTTTTATAAGGCTATATAGTAAATTGGAATCACCACTAACATGTGATCCATTATTTTTCTGTCGTTCTGGCAATGTACCACTGAGTGTTTGCAGCCCCGGAAGTCCAAATGTTCTGCTGCCCCGGTTTGCTGAAGTTGGGGTCAGCATATGCAGCAGGGAAGCCGGTTTCCATGCCCCCTTATCCTAAAGCACATGTGTCATCTGGGCCTAGAAACTTCTATCCCAGATTTAAACAAAGTTAAATGAATAAAAACACTAAAAATAACAAATAAAACACTGTTACAAAACAATTATTAACACTAATAATGGTTAACAACATTTTAACCAAATATATAATATAGGTAACAGTAACAATAACCATGTCAATTAATAATATTTTAACAAAACACATTTAACCATAATGTGTCTGAGGTTGGGCCTAAGGATGTGCTCCTGGTCCTTGGGAACTGATGGAAGAAGGAAGAAGTCTACATGAATAAGTACAGTTGCAAGACAGTTTACATGGACACTGACAATATGAACACATACATAACACAAGAGAAAATATAGCAAGGCTTAACAGAGCAACGTCCACAAATTTAAGTATCAAAAGGGGATAAATTCTGGTTGTTATCATCAGTTATGGAGCTGAAGATGGTGGTCCCGCTCGCTGGAGCTGGGGTCTGCCTACACAGCAGGAAAATGTATTTCCACTCCCTGGCCCAGAGGGCATGTATAGTTTAGGCCTTGGTATTTCCATCTCGCCCTCATGGGCTCAGTAATGACCTTTTAAAGTCCAGGCCCCATTAGCAAAAGGACCTTCCTCTGATTTGATGTCTATTGTTTGCTCATAATATTGGCAACAGAATGACCTAAACCCACAAATTCGCTTTACTCCCATTCTTGGTTAATACTTTGGAAGCCGGAGCTTCCCTTGGGAGAGGAGAATGGTCACCCAAAGCAATTTTACAATGATAGACAATACATCCTAAAAACATTAATAAGACAATGAACATCAACACTATATAGAAATTTAAATTCACATAAGGATCCCTCGTCGTGACTCAGGATATCTGTCTCCAGGGGGGTTTACCTGCAAGAAAAAGGAAAGAAAAGCTTCTCGGTTCATTTTGAGAACCGGAGGTGGGTTATAAATAGAAAGATGAGATAATCTACCTTGTAATAATTTTGTGCTCCTTTCCATGAGCATCTTTGGCTTTCCAGGTGTACTTGTTTATTAGGGTATCCAGTACCAATGGTGCTGCTCCCACTGTGGAGAGTTTGACTAAGACAGGTTGTCCTGCAAAAGGAGATGGATTTCTGGGGTGGTCAAGGCCATGTGGGACTGGCATGATTGTTGGAGCCTTTGGACAGAATGCTGTGATCTTTGGGCATCCATTTATTGGCACATTTAACCACACTTACCCTTTCTGTAGAGGCCATAAATCTAAAGCCTTCTGAATGGTTTCTTTAGCTAATTCAAAATCAGCTTGCTGTTCATTTTCCCATTCAAATTCATATTTTTTCCTTGTCACCTTATACCAAGGGGTTAAAATTTATCCCAAATGGGGAATATGCTGCCTCCAGAAGCCAAATAGCCTTCTTTTTGTCTTGTGGTACGGCAAAATGTAAAAAATTTTTCGTTTGTTGGGCTTTAGGCAGCATTTCTTAATGCCCACAGTGCCACTGAATTCCTAGAAACCACTGTCTGAGATGGTCCTTGGATTTTTATTTTTTTTCCCCCTTTTTTTTTTTTTTTTTTTTTTTTTTCCCCCAGGGTTAATTTCCCAACCCTTCTGTTTCATGTGATTTACCACTAATTCAAGGACTTGTTGTACCTCCTCCTCATCATTTCCTTGGATCAAAATATCATCTATACAGTGGCTTAATTGTGTGTGAGGAGGCAGCTGTATTTCATCTAAATGTTCAGCTACAATTCTATGACAGATAGTGGGGCTATGCAACCACCCCTGTGGTAATCTAGTAAAGGTGTATTGCCTGCCCTGCCCTGTGAAGGCAAATTGATCCCAATGTTATTCTGCAATTGGGATAGTGAAAAATACATTAGCCAAATCTATTACAGTGTACCCAGTTCCTGGATGTTTCTGAACTTTTTCTATTAAAGTGACAGTGTCTGGCACGGCTGCTGCAAGCAGTGGAATATGTTTGTTTAGTTCTCTGAAATCCACTGTCATTCTTCAGGATCCATCACATTTCTTGACAGGCCATATGAGATTGTCCCATGGTGTTGTGGTCAGCTTTAAAGCTCCTACATCTAATAAATCTCTAATTGTCTGTGATATCTCTTCATGTTCTCCCAGAATTCTGTACTGCCTCATTGTGACTAATTTAGTTGCAGCTGGGATCTGCACAGGAGGCACTTTTACTTTGCCGGCTATAACAGGTCTGGCACTAATACAGGGTTTAACTCCAAATTGATACTGACCATCAGAAGGATTTAAAGTCAGTCTTTTTAGAATCTCTATACCTTTTATATATCCAGGAACAGGGACAATCATGACTGAATATAATAATTTTGGGAGGTTTCTGATTTTCATTTCTATTTGTGTTTGTACAGCTTTAATTTATTTTCCTCCTAAACCTTTAATAATTACAAGTTGTCTTTTAAATTTCTTGGGATTCTAATATATTAAGAAGGCCTCTGCTCCAGTGTCAATCAGGGTATTTATAGTTTGTGGGGACTGCTTGTTCAAAAAAAAAAAAAAAATTAAGCTCTACATGTGGTCGTCAGTCCTTCTGCACCTACTGCCCTGGAGCTTGGCCATTAATTCATTTGTACTGATCATAATATTGATTCACTTCCCTTGCCTCGTACAAAGGGTACAAGTCAGAAAATGATGCCTAATCATCTTTCAACCCTGGAAGCGGTGATCCACTTACTGGGGGGAGGGGGGAGTGTGTCTGCCTTCCATGGACAGATGCAGGGTCCTGTTGAGGTTTGAGAAGGAGTGCCATAGGCTGAGTTGTCCCTGGATTCTCAGTTTTAGAACTCTGCACTCTCTTGCTAGGTTGATTCAGCCCTCTCTGTATATATATTCACCACAGCTCATTAGTTGGAACACTATCAATTTTTTTTTTCACAAGATATGCCATCTTTTAGCAAAGCCATAAATATTTCCTTACAAGAAATCCTTTTTTCACTGTCTTTAGGGCTGTCTCAAGTATCTCAATTCCCTGCACTCTTTCGGGGGTCCCGCTCCCCAAGGTCACCCAGCTGCTGTATTTTTCTATTGCATCACAAAGAGGATTTCCTATCTCAGTAATCAAAAGTCATGATAATATTTTTACAGTAGTACCGCATCTCACACAAACTCTTAAACAGATCGATCTTATATTACCACACAAGGAGCTCCCTTGCACCATTTACACAAACAACACAGAATTACACTTATAACCACAAGTACCACTAGGAAAATTATGACAAATGACAAATCTAAATTTAACATCATACATACAAGTTCCAAGTCTCAGAGTCAATATTAGTGCCAATGGTCAAAGTACACGGTGAATCCAGCCCTCTCCTTTTCCTATACTTATATTGTGCTACTCGCACTGCGGCTTTCTCTACTACTGTCTGATAAGCATCCATCTTATCAGCAAGCAATTTATTCTAGCATAACATCACTATTTGACTCTGTAAATCACGTGTCTGTCACTCCATCAGGGAGTGCTCTAACAACAGCCTCTCTTTACTCTGGTGTTGTTTTCTATATGCACTTAACAAAATCAATCCTCATTTACTTGAATATGTAGTCTCTTTTCCAATAGGTATCCTTTTCATACAGTTTAGAACATCTAATGGTTTGGCTTCTTTCAGCCAGCTCCCCCATTGTTTGCACGGTCCTCAGACCTGAGCCCACTCCTGGGCCTGAGAACTAAAGGGAGGATTTTTCCAGATTTGACAAATTACCTTTGAACTTAAATAATGGCAATTTTTGTCAGATCCCAATTCTGACACCAGTTTATGTTTTGCTGATTAGGGATACCAGTTAAAGTCAGACACCAGAGTAAGAAAAGCAGGCGTATTCTACTAGTGATAACCAAATAATGTAACAGAGTAATACAGAAAACATGCAGTAAGAAAAGACAGATTAATGCACCCAAAGCAACAAGGAAGAAAATACAGGGTAATGCATCAAATCATTACTACACGAGAGAGAGAGTAGTGATGAAGAAAGATCCATCACCCCTTGCACACGTTCCCATCACCCAGACCCGCAGTGGCTGGGCAGCCCCGGTTACAGCGAGGGTTTGCAGAGCCTGTCCCGGCAAGGGGGAAATCCTACGGGGTGCATCCACCATGGGTGAGGCTTCCAAAGTCCTTGTGAGCGGGCCCAGCCTTATATACCAGAGATCGACAAGACAGAATAGCTGGAACTTTTGTTTTGAGAGGAAAATTTCTGGTTTCATTCTCCCGTTGGATTCCATCCGAAGCCTGGCCAGGGCTTGGGGGGAAAACCAAGGGAGTTTCTAACAAGGCCAGGTACTTGGGTTCTCAGTCTTGAACAAGGCTGAACAAGGGAAGCTGGATACATTCTCTCCTCACTACTGATTATATTTTGTCTAAGCTGCATCTCTCACTAGCGAGCTTACATACTTTGTTAATGATTCCAGACTAAGTTAGCAGTTTCGGCTTGGGGCCTGTTGTTCAGACTTCAGTATTTCAATGCTTTAGCACTTTTTACATCAGCATAAGTGGGTTGTTATAACTTAGTACAATACATACTAGCACAATGGTTATCAGTTATAAAATAGACAGGATTCATCTATAGCTGGCTTGGGCTGGTTGTCCAAGCCTTAGCACTTCAAGAAGAAACAGTTTTTTGTGGTAAGAGAGGCCAATCACTTTTTTTTTATTTACCTATCAATCACCTAACAGTGACCTGGAATATTTTACAGGAAGGAAACTCCATTTGCTGGGGAAGGCAAGCTCCCTTTAGCTCAGCAAGTCTTTCTCAAGGACTACAGGGTTGTTACTGGTCAACTGCTAGATGAATCCGACCCATGTTCCAATTGTGACAAAGAAATTATTTTATCATACTTCTGAGGAAACACAGATGTATTCATGTTTAGACCCTGTTTTTTTATATGATACATCTTTCATTTTCTACCTGTTCTCCTTGCAGTTTTTCTATACTAATGTATTTTGGTAGTTGTACTCTTTTTTTCACATTGAGATTTAATACATTTTTTAAAAAGGTATTTAATTTCAGACATTAGAAGTATTCCTGAATCTCTACTGGTTGTTTTTGGTTTGTTTGTTTTTTTTTTTTCATTTTACAATCTTTTTTTAAAAAAAAAAATCTTATTTTCTCCTAATTAAGTACATCAAAAACCTGCAGCTATACAAGATTAAAATACCTAAGGCAAAGTAAAGACATAGACATAGAGTGGGTGAACAACCCCCCTGCAATCCAGGAGGAGATAGTAAATGACTATCAGCCATGAAAGTATCAGTACTAGTCCTTAGTAGGTACTGGTCTTTGTAGGGCTCCATTAGAAAAAATACACTTCAGAGTAATATTCACTAAAATATTCCCATTAACACTGAATTTTGACAACTTTAATCTATATACTATGCCTTAGAGATAGTATATTTTATTAAATCTTTTGATCTAACATCAGATGCCTTATAGATGCTGAAATATTACACATGCCCTTACTTTTATGTATCAGTTCTGCTAAGTATAGTTCTTGACAAAGTAAGTTTTCCACATAATGTATCGATTAGAATTATATATAATATATAGCTATTTTAACTATTAATTATATCACTGAGAAAGCCATCAATATTTGAAATCTATAATTTGTTTAATTGCTTACTTTCCATTAACTCTCAAGTTAAACCTGTAATCCACTGATTGTGTACTCTGATGACCTTTCAGCAGTACTGATTTTTTTTCCACGTACCTGGACTTTCCACACTTTTTCAGCATAACAGAAATTACCAAGGCTGACCATGTTGAAACTTTCAGATACATCTTGTCTGAAACATGTGATTTGGAAAACTAGTTCATCAGATGGTATTTATCTCTTTAGTTTTTGTTTGAATGAACAATACCTCATCACTGCATATCATAAATATTTTTCTCCCCCCTAGACAGTCCCCTCCATTTCTCATCTCTATAATATTTCCAGGATTTTTGTAATTACTGAGGAAGTCTACATTTTATCCTGTAATCTCTAGTTTTTGCCATGAATATTTCCTCTTAAAATCAAAGTCATATTCCATACTATCAATTTCCTTTGTATATTTCTCTATCTGTATAATCTGTGTCGTACCATATTAACACACTGAAACAACAGCTAGATGCTGAAAGCAACACATTGCAGAATAATATAGGGCTTCTGAAGGGTACAGGAACCAGGAGATTTATCCTGGTTTAGCAACAGAATTTTACATAAACCTAGAATAAAACCTAGAAAGCAGCAAAACCAATGCAAAACCCAAACCAAACCAAGCCACGAGCACGCCAAAAAAGTACCATTCACGTTTGTTTCTACTAGTTTGTCACCCTCCTCATTGAGTCCTGAGAATCCTCAGCATCCCTCAGCCCACAGACAGAAGTTTCCCAAGATTTCTAGGACCTACTTCATCTCTCCCATGTGCTTAAAGGTTTCTCACTAGTTTCCTTCACATGATTTCAGGGCTTGCCATTCCTTACCATGGGTGGGTTAACAATCAGGGAATTCTTCAGTACTTTGCTGTGTTCTTTCTTACTATCTACAAATATAAAAAATAATTATCAAAGATTATAATAATCATTTAAAAAATCGGAATCTTACTGCTGTTAGATCTAATAAAACCTAAAAAAGAAAATACAGTAGGTGACACTAAAAAACCACATGGCTTTGCCTGTGATTTTCCCATGTGTTAAATATATATAGAATACATACAGTCTCTTAAAACTGTTAAAATGTTCTTTCCTAGAAATCCAGTATCATTTGAGGGAGAAGTTCAAACAGCAGTGCAAAGGTCCTTCTCTTTCTTTTTATTAATGCGTTTTCTTGGAGAGACCTTGGAAGGTCCTAGACAGCTTGCTTTCAGCTTCAGTGGCAGGTTTTAACTGACTACCCTTGAAGCAGTTGTTGATGATCTTAGCTGAAAATGGGGGGGAGAGGAGAGAGAAGGTGGAGGGTGAGGAGAGAGTTGCTTTTTCAGGATAGGAAGCCTGCTACTGAATGTCCTTAGCTAGGAGTTTATTATCCAACTCTGGTTTTAGCAGTTTTTTTCACATTAGGTGAAAATTGCTTGCATTTGTTTTGCATTCATTTTAAGTAACTTTTTATTAATTTGTTTACTCAATTTTTGTATGTCATTCTTATTTCTCCTGTAGCTTTCTAAACCTCTTCAGAATAATCTAATTTTCCAGGATTACTGCCACAAGTCTACATTATTCTTTCTTAGTATCTTTAACAACCTTGGCTAAAACCCATCTGGACCTCAGGATTTGTTGGGTTGGACTCACTGCAACTCATTTATCACTTCTGTCTTACTGACCTTAAAATCATCCAAAGCAGTGAGTGCATGGCCAGTTCAGATGAGATTTCTTTACTGCATGCTCTCTCCAGTAACTGAATTCAGAAACTATTCATAACTGTCCTGAATATATAAACTTCAATAAATAAATATATATACACTGTGGAGAATCCTGCATCTTTATTCAAGATAAAATGTGTGCATATGGGAGTAGGGAGTGTTTCTGAACAGTAATTTCCTGTAGCAATATGTTGCATGTTACATCAAATTAAACATACATGAGTTTTCAATGTCTAATGTCTACCTAGGTCTAAAAAATGCTGATGATTTTACTTACTACCTGCTTTAGAGAGATAGCCCTTTATTACCTTGGTGTTTTTGTCCTCCAGATAGCCAGAATGTGTTTCTCTTCAGGCTCAGTCAGCTAAAATTTTGAAGATATACAGAGCAAAAATATAAGAAACTGAACTTTTGTAAGTCGCTGGGAGTGGCAGCTGGCAATGCTGCATTATGGTGTGAGCTAGGATGGTGTTGAGCATCTTCTTTCCCCATGCCAGTGCTACCCTCCGCTGCTGAGCTGTGACCACTGACAAGTGCAATGTTGTATTATAGCTGGGCTATAAATTTACATGTTTAACAGTTAAAAAATGTAAAAAGTATTTCCATAGGAGGAAACTTCAAATTCAGTGTAGACTACAAAAGTATTTGTGGTGCTTATTACCACCTAGTTCCATGCTGTTAATCTGTGGTATCATGTAATTTTTAGCTGTGACTGTAAAGGGTC